TCTGTGATTTCCATTGTCCCACTTTTATACTTTCAGTTATCTTCTGAAACTCCCCATTTCTTCATATACCATATCAATTTTTCCTATGGACTTTATTTGAAACTTTTTATTTGGAAATTATTATAGATTCCCAGAAAGTTGTGAAGATAGCGCAGAGGGGCCCCATGTACTCCCCTACTCAGATTCTCCAACTGATTACATCTTACATAACTATGATATAATATGAAAATCAGGAAAGTGACATTGACATAAAGTGTATACAGTTCTGTGTAATTTTATTGGATATATAGATTCATGTAACAAGCATTCCAATTAAGTTACAGAACTATTCCATCACTGCAATGATCTCCCTCACACAACTTCTTTATAATCAGTCACAACCATCCACATCCTTCCCCACTATCACTAACTCCTGGCACCCACGAATCTGTTCTTCATCTCTATAATTTTGTTATTTCAAGAGTGTTATATAAATGGAATAATACAGTATTATAACCTTTTAATACTGGCTTTTTTCACTCAATCTAATGCCCTTGAGAGACATCCAAGTTTTTGTGTGTATCAATAGCTCATTTCTTTTTTATTGGACTAGTACTCCATAGTATGAATATACCACAGTTTGTTTAACCATTCATCTATTGTAGGATATTTTGGCTGTTTCCAGTTTTGGGCTATTTCTTATGAACTTTTAAATACATTAATTATAGTTATTTATACTAATTATCTTTTAGGCCAACATTTGAGACTTTTACTGCTCTGTTTCTATTGACAAATGTTTTTCTCTTAATAATGATCACATTTTCCTGTTTCTTCTCATGTCTAGTAATATTTTACTCTATATTAGATATTTTGAATGATGCACCATAGAGACTCTAGATTCTGCTATCTCCCCCAAAGAATGTTGAGTTCGGTTTGGTAGGCAGTTATATGACTAACATATCACCCAGAATATGTGGAGAATTGGTTTTATGTGTCACTAGGGTGAGCCTATTTTAGGTTTTCCCTTAACCCAAGGGGAATCCCTTATTCTTGTGACTTATCCTTTACTCTTAAGGTATAAGCCCCTTGAGATTTTTATGGAAAACCTAATGTGCTTACCACCCCCACACTCCCCAACAAGCTGGACTCAAACTCCAAACTCTGACTTTTATATGGTGGACAGTAACTAAAATTTCAGTTCATTTTTCTTTCCCCCAGCTTCTAGCTATTTTTTCTTTCTGCACTCCTTGGTATTTAACCTGTACATTTGTAGTTCAGGGATCAAGCTGGGGATGTTTACACTCAGGTGTCGAATTTCTGCTATGGCTCACTTCTGAAATTTCCAGGAACTCTGGAAGAATCAAACTCCATGATCTGACTCCTCAGGCCAATAAAATGTCAGTTTCTACAGAAGTTTTGCTGCCCCACATTCATCAGCCTGGGGCATGGCTTCAGGGGAAAAGCTGTATAAACATGGATTTCACACAGTGTGGTAAGGATGAGTCTGATAAAAAGTATTCTCCCCTGTTTCAATATGATTTATTTTTGAATTTTGTCATAATTATGTCTATTTTTCTGTGGAAACACTCCAGCCCCTTTCCAGCTCCCCATTCATCTCACTGAGAGCCACCTCCATCCAGCAATAAGATCCTCCACATTTACCATCCTTCAACTTGTCCGTATGACCTGATTCTTCCTGGACTCCAGACAAGAACCTGGGTACCAAAGAGGCACTGAGCTGGTTAACACTTAAGCTATCTGCAGATGGCAGAGCTAAAGGAGCACTGTAACACACCTACTGGGGCTTCGGGAATCGCAGGCACCCGCCTCTAGATGCTACCATGGGGCCAGAACCCAAAAGTGCTGGCCCTGGCTCCCACACCTGTCCGTCTTCATGCTCCCCCTCCCATAGGGTTCGAGTGCGTGGCAGCCCAACAGATGAGCGGATCAGGGAACTCTCCTGTTTCAATTTAATTACTCTCCCTAGAGAACATTGCTTTTTAGCAACTGAAGGGCCCTGCTTTCTTCATTATACTTTCCTAAATTCTACTTTGAGTATCCATTCAGTTCATGCCTTCTGAATTTTCCAAACACTGAACCTATTCCACCTCCTTTGGGTAGGGTTTTCCCTCATGACTTATCATTCCAAGATGTGCAGAGGATGAACTAGTATGTTTGGAAGGCAACTGAGATGAGGATGGGAATAGAAAAGAGGTGGCCTCCCAAAATACTTTTAAAGCTGGTATGGTTACAAGCAGACATTGGGAAGCTGCTTCTTTTCAGGTATATAACTCAAACTGACTGTGTCCTGTCTCATTTTATAATCACCTCATATGAGTATAATATTCTTATCACAACAAGATCAGAAGATTCTTGAGGGCAAATATCTTGTCTACTTCTCTTCCCATAGCACTGAACATAGTGCCTCACACAAAGATAGAAGTTTATTTGATGTGTTCCTTTGCATTTTAACCACTTGGCTGAATCTCTAAGTTTTCTTTGCTAATTTTTCAAACAGTGTTTGTCCAAACTTTCGTCATACTAAAGAGCATGAAGATACACCCTGAAAATTTATAATTTGGCCTAAGCTTAATTATCCAACCACATTTCACACTATTCTGCTTTCTCCCTCACTAACTCTGCTCTTGCTCTACTGGTCTTCTCTCAGTATTTAAACACACAGGAATTCCTGCTTCAGAGCCTGTGAACTTGCTATTTCGTTTACCTAGAATGGACATGGCATGGTTAGCTGTTTCTCATCACATAGGTCTCAGATCAAATGGTCATTCCACAGAGAGGTCTTACCAAAGTATCCTGCTCCCTTAAATCTGACCCAAATACTCTCTTGTTCAGTACTCTGTTTTCCTTTTTTATATTATTATTATTTTAAGACAGAGTCTCACTCTGTCACCCAGACTGGGTGCAGTGGCACAGTCTCTCTTCACTGCAACATTTGCCTTCCAGGTTTAAGCAATCCTCCCGTCTCAGCCTCCCAAGTAGCTGGGACTACAGGCAAACACCAAAATGCCTGGCTAATTTTTATATTTTTTGTAGAGACAAGGTTTTGCCATGTTGCCCAGGCTGGTCTCAAACTCCTAGGCTCCAGTGATCTACCTGCCTCAACCTCCCAAAGTGCTGGGATTACAGATATGAGTCATTGTTTTACTTTCTTTTTAGCACTTACTAGTAACTAAAAGTATCCTCTTACTATTTGTTTGTGTTTATTGCCTATCTTCTCATGTTAGAACCTAAGGCCCATGAGGGTGAGGAATTTTGTCTCATTTACATCAGTATCCCAAATGCCTAGATTAGTGCCTAAATGAACAGTTGTCACCCTGTGTGCTATCTTGAAAACAATTTGAGATAGATACACATGTCAATGTCCTTAACGGTAAATTGATTTCAGTGAAAAATGGCTCAGAGGTAGAGGCTACAGAGATGTTTTTAAAGAATAAACAGGGCCGGGCACAGTGGCTCACACCTGTAATTCCAGCCCTTTGAGAGGCTGAAGCGGGAGGATCACGGGGTCAGATCGAAATCATCCTGGCTAACACGGTGAAACCCCGTCTCTACTAAAAAAATACAAAAAGTTAGCCAGGCGTAGCGGTGGGCACCTGTAGTCCCAGCTCTCAGGAGGCTGAGGCAGGAGAATGGCGTGAACCCAGGAGGCGGAGCTTGCAGTTAGCCGAGATCATGCCACTGCTCTCCAGGCTGGGTGACAGAGCAAGACTCCATCTCAAAAAAAAAAAAAAAGAATTAACAGATCATTCGTTTAAATTTAATTCCATCCAATGAGATCACAGGTTATAAGATGTACCAATGAGAAAAACTCAGTTCTTACAACAACTCTGTGAGATAGACATACTATAATAATCTCCATTTTATGGATGAGGACACTGAGAGAAAAGGCTAGATAAAGACTTAAGTAGGTTGATTTGACTGAAGTTGTAAAGCCAGTAGGTGACTAAACTGGGAATGAAAACCAGGCAGTTTGATTTCAGTCTGTGGTTATGGCCACTGTGTCTCATCTGCATTTAGCAGTGCAAAGTGTATTCACTTCAGTTCTCTCATGTATTTACCACGCAAATCTAGCATGATTACTTTACATATGCTTTTACAAATGGTTTAGAATAAACAATAATGGACTTGGGGTTGAGTTCCAGGGTATATTACTAATCAATATAATCCTCAATCTAACTTCTTCATTCCTTAATCCCTGAATATGTAAAATGAAGGCTTGGTGGAGTCTTATTAAAGATAAACTAATATTTTATTAATTGTTTTGAAGTTATGAGAGCCCTGGGCATCATGATGCTGATAAATTTAACAAGAATATTGCTAGGAATATTTAATATCTTACCTGGACTTTATTCATCTCCAATTTGTTCTTCTCATTGGCACTCTGGTCTTGTTTGCTAGCTCCCTTTTTCTGAGGGCCTTTCCCAAAGAAGATGTAATTTACAAAGGCATACTCCAGCAGAGCCAGGAACACAAACACAAAGCAACCCATCAGATAAATATCGATCGCTTTGACATAAGGGATCTTTGGCAAGGTCTCCCTGAGATGGGTGCTGATGGTTGTCATTGTAAGCACTGTCGTGATTCCTGTGAAAGAGAAAGACAACGCTTAGCCAAAGGCACCACTATTAAGTTCCTTTTTCAAGATTGAGAGGACAGATGCCATTTGCCACTTCCTTATTCATGCCCCTGAGTGATCACAGTAGCATGATAAACCACTGGGCAAAAAGGGCAGATATTTTGAAAGACAAGGCATTAGCCTCCCTACATAGTCCATTAATGAATCATAAAATAGAATGTGTAGTTAATGAAGGGTTGAAAACATTTTTTTTAATTGCACAAAATAAAAACCAAAGCAGATGGAAAAGCAGATCAAAATCCCATTGAAATTCTACTATTGAATGTCACTCACTTTATTACGTGACCACATTTTTCTTCTTCCTTTTCTCAACATCTCATTCATTGTGCTCCTAAATTTGTCTTTGTGATACTAATCCCTATAGCATCCTCTACCAAACTGAAAGCTGCTGACTAGTTTGAGATCTACTTCATTCCATGAATCAACAGGACACCCAAATTACAAGGTCAGTATTGCATTTTAAAATAATTATGTGTAATTCATAGCAAAACATCACCAAAAGAGGAAACATGAGAAATGTCATAATTTGTATCAAGTGCTTGATTTATGTATATTTTACATTTACTATTATCTTGTTACTTTGATATTTCAAATATTATCTATTTTCTTGGTTCCAGAACCTAGCATGAATTAGTTCCGTGATGTCAGAAAACAACTTCTTAAAAGTTTGAACTTGGATTTGTTGAAGAAGTTTAAGACTATGAGCTCATAAAGGACAGATTTTGTTTTATTTACTTTATTAAGTATCGCATTCTTAATAGTATAACGTTTGCTTAGCTGTATAACATATTTTGTGTTAATGATGGTGATGATTAAGTGATAACTGCGAAAAGCAAGAAGTGAAAAAGAAGTCAGAATCTAGTGTAGATAGTTGTTCTGCAATACTAATATTATACATTTGTATAGTGTTGTACATTTTTAAATAATTACAGTTATAAATTATCCTACATGGCTGTCATAACAGCCTGAAAATGATAAGAAGTGTATATTATTCTCATTTTATAACTGGGTAAACAGAAAATCTGAGATTAGTTATTTTGTTTTAGGCCACCCAGTGAGGGTCAAAAGAGCACAGAAATGTTACACAATAGCATTTAAAATAAGCAATGAGATGAAAAGGTAAAATCGAAAATTTGATAGAGGCTCTTAAAAATAAAGTCAGAAAGTATGGAATAGATAGTAAAGACAAAGGAAAACTTCCAAAGGGAATGGGAGGTAGCAAAATGAAATGAAGGAAAAAATAGTTTCGCATTCATTTGCCAATCAGATTATTCTAGATGTATATTCCCGGATTTGACTATTCAACTTTTAGAAGAACAGATAAAGCAGGAGGTCAGGACCGCCAGACAAAAAATTAAAGTGGTTCAGATCAGTAATAAATTCTAGTGTGCTGGGCTGATATAAAATGCTATAATGAGTGGTCTTTCTTATTTCTTTAAAAAAATCTTTAAATTTCACCTGATATAACTCTAGCTAATGTGCTTCACAGAAATGAATGAGTCACTTACAAATTCACCAGTTGCATTTCTGCTTCTACTCCTTGTTTTACATTTTTATACAAAAAGTGTTAGTAAATGAATGCCATTTTAAATTACATGTTTTAAAATATCTCAAGTTTTACAGTCCAAAGAATAGCTTAAACAAGCACCTTTATATACTAACATCTCTAATATCTCTAATTAAAATAGTATTAGCTTTGAGGATAGCAGAGTAAAGAAAACCACAATTCATAAACTTACTAGTTATTATTCTCTGCTGTGGACATCATCCACTGTTTTTTTCTTAAGTGTAGCATATAGACATAACAATACTCGTGTTCAAGTAATATATGCAGATACATACGTGTGATACTATTATTTGTTTGCTTTCTTTAATCTTAGGTTGTTCAAAGATTGATAAAGTGCTACAAACACTTGACTTTGTGAGCTTTATGTATTCAGTCATTACAAGTAAGCTGTAGTGATGGCAATTAGTATAGCTGTGAACAGGTATGCTGATCATCTAGTCCAGCTTAATAGTCTCCGAAATGAAGAGATGAAATATGTTAGCTTAGCCAGAAATGTTATGTGTGTGAGTGTATGTGTGTGAGAGAGAATTTGCCCCAGAAAGAAATAACTGAAATGGCTGTAGGATCAAATAGTGACACAGACTTGCACATCCCCAGATTCACCAGACAGACCTTACACATCCTAACCTTCCAAGGAATGCTTTAAAGTCTCAAACATAGCCCATCAGCTTTCAGCAATTAATTAACCATGGCAGGATTAGTTCTAAATTTTGTTCCTCCAAGAAGGAAATCATTTTTATTCTGTCTTGACCACAGATTATTAATATAGCTGATGAATTATCTGTGCCTTATTCAAGTGTAATAAGCTCCATTTAAAGGAGACTCGGCTTCATACGATTTAATTTTAGTTAGTATCCAAAGGATAGTATTTCTCGGCAATTGACAGCTTGTTGTTAGTCACATGGTTTAGCTTTCTCCAAATTCATTTGAAAATAGTGCATTGTGTATGTTCTTCACTGTTAAAAGCAGGGATTAAAGAGGAAGTCATCCCAAAGTTAGTAAAAATTAGCGTAATGAGAATTTAAAAATATATTCCATGAGACACTTAAGTAGTGCTAGATATAGTCCAAGATTTTTGTTTGTTTGTTTTGGTAAAATGCTAAAAAGACAGTACATTGTAGAATATTCATTGTAGACATGCTTACATTTAGATGTCTTATATTCAGGGACTCTTATGATGATCTAATTCTTTGGCTTGCTATAAGAGAGCCCTTCCCTCTAATTCCTGATATTGGTTATTTGTTTGAAAATAAAACCTGTTAGTTCTCTGCAGTGCTGAGAATGTATTACCTAGTGCAACTCTGGCTGCAGATGCATCATAGTTGATCCAAAAAGACACCCAGGACAGAATTGTAATCAGTGTAGAAGGCATGTAGGTTTGCAAAATGAAGTAACCAATGTTTCTCTTTAGACGAAAACTTAGTGACAGCCGTGGATATGCTCCTGAGTTGAGAAACAAAAGACAAGTAATCAGACCATCATTTGGTTGGAACCATCTTCTTCCTTTCACAGCACCTCTAGTACCTTTTGGGGGAAACAACCTCACCTGTTGTGAACTCCACCTTCTTAGACACCATCTTGTAGTCAACAATTGAAAATTGAGGAAGTTCGATTTTATTAACACCAGTTACTGCCCCCTCTCCTCCATTCCAGTAAAACTCTATGTCATCAGTGGTATAGCCATCTGAAACCAATAAACACAGCACGGTTAAATAAAGTTTAGGAAATCATTTTGAATACCACCTGGGAGCTAGAGGAAAAATTCCCAGCAAAAAGGTGGTAAGGTGGCATTGCTTTAAATTAGGGTAGTATGCAGATCTCATGTGGAGTGCTATTTCTGATGATTTGGTAGTAGCTGCACTGAAAGAATGGGTGCATCTGGCTTTAGCGGACTTAAGCTCTGGATCATTTAGTGATAGCTGAAGTCATCGATGCAAATTTATTCTTATCGTATCTACTAATGTTCATTCTTTGGTTAAATTGGGGGATGGCTGAATTCTAGGTACCTGGACATGGCTTTGGCTATGTGCTACTTAACAACAACAATCGCACAGCAAGTAATAATAATTGAGCACATATTTGTTAAAAGGATAACAGGTAGTGCGAAGAGATGAAGTATAATGAAAGACTAAGTTTCTATATAGCCATTACATGATTAAGACATTAAAAACTGCATATTTCTTTTAGAAAATTTGGCAAGCTTTTATTCATATCCTTCGATTATAGCTAATATTATTATAGCTAGTATATGGGTAAAAGTCTTAGGACTATATAAATTCTTGATAATGCTTTTATATCTTTATACTTATGAGAGTGCACTTTAGTTAATTTAAGGGAAATGTGTAGGGAACTGTAGATTGTAGTAGAAGGGTCTGTCCTCAGGCCTTCAGCATGAAGGCCCTATGCTGATGGTCTAATCTCTTCCTCTTCCCACTCTGCTCCCACCTGGCAGTGTTCTAGCTGGGTTATCATTATGTGTAAGAGTAACTTGCTGAGTTGATGGGTGCAGCACACCAACATGGCACATGTATACATAGGTCACAAACCTGCACGTTGTGCACATGTACCCTAGAACTTAAAGTATATATAAAAAAGAGTAACTTGCATAAAAAGAATGTACGAATATATTTTAAAAATCTAAAAATAATTTAAGGCATATTTTACGACCACATTTTTCTCTACTAGCTAGAGACAAAGAAAATCTTTCTAAATTCATTTTCTATTTAGGTTCACCTCAAATAAAAAAAGCATAAAATCTTTTTTCCACTAGAATTGCTGGGGCTAGTGTTTCAAAGGTAACCACATAAGCTCTTTGTAGTGGACATCATGCTGACCTACTTTTGATTAAAGCCAGTAATACCTTTTCAAGAGATAGAAAATAATGTATTTGATATTTAGAAGTTGAATGCCAGGTGCCAAAGGGTCACCATCAACTTGTCCTTGCCAGAATGTAAGAAATTTTAAGCTATTCTTCCCCATTCTGCTTCCCGCTTTTAAAAAGGAAAACAAAACTATCTTAATTTTACTGCTTTAAACTGACTTCCAGATATAATCACCAGTGTTTGAAAGACTGAGACCCTCTTTACTATTGGACTTAGAATATTATCTACAGCGAACTAATTGGCATATTGGGGATTTTATCAAGTTTGGGTATGATTCTGTAAGACTGATTCTAAATATCTCCTTGAGAATTTGATTAAAACCTGCAAATAAATTCCACAGAAAAATATAGATAGATAGATAGATAGATAGATAGATAGATAGATAGATAGATA